CATATGTGGGGAAGGATGGTCATGTACAACCATTGAAAGAAATCAGAACCAGAATCTAATTTGTTCTTTGAACAAATCTGTATCCATTTTCCTACAAAATAACAGAGTAATCCACCTTTAATTCTCTTCACCAATAATAAAGCAGAGAGTGGTTGGAAGCAGAGATCTGAGTGCCAGAAAAGAATTTCCTTATAACCATGGATTGAAAAGGTTGCTAGGGACCAATAAGCAGCACCAGGAAGGGAGAAAGAAAGAGAGATGACAAATATTTTTATATCTGAAAGATAAATATGAAGGAAAAAGAAAAAACAGAAATTTAATGAGTAAAATCAGCAGTCTGCTCTGAAAAATTCTTGCATTTTCAACAGCACCCTTCGTTGATGTCATTTATCAGGGCAAACACACCAGGGAACACATCAGGCAAACACAACATTGCTTTGGCAGTGAAACTAGAATCTACTTCTATAGGATACCTGGTTATCTAGATGAAAGCTAGGTGCCAGGAAAAAAGCGGTTCTTTAGCTAGCACTGAGATATATAAGCAACAGAAAATGCTCTTATATGGCGATTGTTTCATAGTCCTATGTCATCTCCTACTCCAAGCTGGCCTTTACTGATCCCTTTTTCTATTAAACTATTCCAGACTCTGCTGTTTACTTGGAATGAATATCACATTGAAATGGAAAATTGGACTTTATCCAATTTAGCTTTAGCCAGCTGAAACAGTATCAGTGGGAGAAAATGATGCTGTAATTTTCTCATCTGGTAAAATGTGGCTAGAAATCCATGAAGAAAATGTAGCAATATTCATTAAAATGAAGAATATGCTACAATGAATAGTAATAGTTTGCTTTTAAAGAACTTGTTAAAATGCCATTAGATGTTCAATAATGACTATAAGACGATGTAACAGAGATGTATGAATGAGAATGTTGAGTTCCATTGTTTGTTTTGAACTCCAAAGTGATCTTTTTCAGATTCCATTTTCAAGTGTGACAACTGGAAAGGACAATTAAACAGTAACAAAGCTGTTACCAATCTATTTTGAAATGTTGATTGAATTCCATCTCCAACTTCACAAAAAATTACGTATATGTATATGTGATCGAGCAGGTTTAACATAAGTTTACTCAACATTTCTGAAAATGGAGGAAAAACAACTGAACGGTACATGTAGACCCTCAATTTTCCAAATGAGAACCTGTAGTTGTACATGTGAAAGAAGGTCCGTTAGACTTAACTGATAAGGGATTTTAAAATTTACCTCTATATGTAAATATGTGATAAAACAAATGAATAATGGATATTCATTATTCAGGAGAACTAAAATTACCTGCTAAATTTTGGAGTAAAATACAATCATGTGAATGTGCTTACAATTCAATTAAAGTGGTTAAGTGGGCCAACTCTAGAGTTAGATGGAAAGCAACTGAAGCCTGGCTTTGCCACTTGCAAATTGTGAGACCTTGAGCACAATACTTTACTTCTTTTGGTTTCTTCATCTGTAAAATGTGAACGATGATGGTAATAACAGCACCTGTTATTACTGTGAGGTAACTTATGTAAACATTTAGAATAGTGATAAGCCAACAGGAAACACTCGATAAATGTTAGACATTTTTGATAAAAGGCCCTCTAAGAAGGTAGTGGAAGATAGAATGAAAGATTGGAAAGGGAAACACAGAGGATAGAGTAGTGGTATTAGGCAGTCCTAATTTGAGTAATAAAATTGTTCTATGTTAAAATGGAATGCCAAGTTAATATTTCTACACATGTGGTAGCCAAACTGCTCCAACGCCAATGTCCAGAAGGCTGTTATTACTGCTATGGAGTGGTCCAATGAAAAGGGAGAGTCCAATGGCCTTAAAACATTTCTGTACCCAGGACATGAAAATAACGAAGTGCTTTATTATAGTCAACCAGTAACCTTTCTTAGTTAATCACTTATCACTTTCTTTAAAGTCTTGAAATTTTCTGCAATGCACTGAACTACCTTTAATATTATTCTCCTTAGGAAATGAAGGTAGCTTCAAGGATGAGGGAGGAGAATGGAAAGTAGGCTGAATCACAGATTGTTACTGTCTTCTTTCCATAAACTAGTTGGTGAAAATACTTTGTTTTAAAATGCAAAAGACTTCCTCTCTGGTACTTATTAAGTCATACATTAAAAGGGCAAATATAAAAAAATCAAGTTTAAAAGAACCTTTACAGTTCTCTCATAATTATTCTTAGCTTAATGAAAACCGATGTATACTATTTTTATTTTCATTTACTCCTTGAAAGAAAAAATATTACTTACTTTCCATCCCAGACATGGTCACCTCTGTGGAAAATCACCAGGTTATTTTTAAGGTCCAGAGCCACCCCAGAAACCTGGCCTGGTAACAAGTACACTCCAGGCCAATCCAGTGCCTCTTCTACATGGAAATCTAAAAGATAAATCAATACATTTAGTGTAAAAATGAAAGCCAGCCTCTTGAAGATTTACAATAGTTACAAGAAGCTCAAGCGGGTAACCAGTGATGCAAATAAATAAAAAAAGAGAATCAAGCCATGCTCTATGTAAAATATACCACATGCACATGCCACATAGCTTCCTAAGCTATGAAATAAGATAAGTGACTGTGAATTTGTACTGGTACTATCTGTTTTTCTTTTGCTGTTGATAAGATGCTTGTAAAACCAGCTAACCCTTAAGTCATTACAGAGCAAACTTTAGATAGCCTTCTTTTTGACAAGACTCTTACTTTAAAATCTTTGGAAAATAAGACAACATGGCTGGCATCATTTTAATACAAAGCTTTTTAAATGTTGTAAATATATAGCAAGAATGGGCAATAAGACTGTTGTTCTGTGCATTTCCCTCCCTTTCTTCCTTATCTATAGATTTATCTCTTGAATAAATTCTGGATGTTCAATATACAACAGTCCCCACAATAAACCATTCATTAACTATCCCCTGTACAAGGAACTACATAAGATACCAATCTCATTTCTCCTAACTTCAGTGTTTCTATAAGAATGGGGCACTCTTTTACTATTTATCTTTGTTTCCTAAAATGAGAGAAGAAAAAATGACAGAAACTCTCTGACTGAATGATTTCTAAATTATTCTTATTTCTGATCAGAATACATTTATCCTCAGAGAATAAGGGGGTTCATTTGTGTTAATCCCTTTATACATATGCTCATGAATAAAGAGGTATGATGTATGTATTTATACTAATTGAGGATACGGGGTTAAGATGATAACTGTGAAAGCTATTGTATCAGTGTCAATATTTCTTTCCCTCTCAAATGCTTCAACAGAAATACTGAGAAGCATAAGAGCAGCAATTTGAGTCTCATTTCTTCTACCCACCCTCTGGAGGATGTGACAATATTCAGTGAAATCCTCAAAGATAGGCATTAAAGACTGAGAAGAAAGGGAAGCTCATGGTTGAGAGGATGCTGGTGTGAGAATAAGCACTTTTAAAATAATTCTGTCAACTATACAATGGGAAAAAGTACCTTTTCACTCAAAATATTTTTCCCCTTGCACATTTAATCTTTTCTTTAATAAAAATTAACAAAACATAGTATAATCAATAGGACTCCTAGATCAGTTCTGCCTACAACCTTTGCTGAAGCATCTTCAACAAATATTCCCTAAGTGTATTTTCTATGTAAGGCACTATGTTAGATTGTGGAAACACAAAGAAAGAAAAGATAGTTTTTGTCCTTGGTGAATAAAGGGATATAATAAGGATATAACTGGGCAGGAATATAACAGGATAAGATGAGAAAAAAACAGGAATCAAATACTTATGACATAAAGTAGTATAGGAACATGAGAGAAAGCTCAAAATCCCTCCCGAGACTTAGGCTGGAATATGGTGGGAATAAGGTCTATTCAAAACGTCTTCCAGAAGAACAAACGTTTGTATTTTCACTTAAATGTAAGGAGAGGTTAACCAAGTATAGAAGTGGGCACAGAATATTTCAGTCAAAAAGAACAAAAGTGAGGATATTATAATTGCAGAATATGTTTCAAGATCTTTAAGTAATCTGGAAAGGATATTCGTGTATGCCAGGTGGGGATGGGGGGCATTGGGACTAGATTAGCAGACCCTGAAATGTGGTTTAGACTCAAACTGGAATATGTATAGCATACAAACGAGTCTGGATTTATCAATGAGAATGTAGTTTGTAGCCATGGTGTCTTAACCTCTAGTATGATTAATTTTGAAGCATGTTGCAAATACTTTATTAGCAGCAGTAAAATACAGAGTCGGGGAATAATTTACTTTTGAAATATATTAGAGTGCATGAGAATGCCATTCTCATTCATGTGTATTGTAATATGCCTCCTTGAGTTGGAGAGAAGGGAGGGAGAGTTACAGCTGGCATGCCTGAATTTGCAAATAATCCTGGGTATAGCAGTGGATGTGAATGGAGCTCCTCAGATGAACAGCATCCATTGCCTATCATGCTTGCTTGCAAAAGAGGGAAAAATATTGCAAATTACTGCTACAGGCAATCGGGAGCCAATGAAAGTTTTTAAAAAATTTATTGATAAATGATAATTGCAAATATTTATGGGGTTCATGTGATATTTTGATACATTTATACTCAAATTAGGGCATTTAGGATATTTATCACCTCAAACATTTATCATTTCTTTGTGTTGGAAGCATTTCATATCTTCTAGCTATTTTGAAATATACAATATATTGTTAACTATATTCACTCCATTGTGCTATTGAAAACTAGAACTTAGTCCTTCTAACTGTATGTTTGCACCCATTAACCAATCTCTCTTTATCCCCGTCTCCTACTCTTCCCAGGCTCTGGTAACCATCACCCTATTCTCTACCTCCATGAGATCTACTGTGTTAGCTCCCATATATGAGTGAGAACATGTG